ACATGGGCCAAAAAACAGCCTCATTAGTGGCTACTGATGACCCAAAGAGAACAACAATTTACATCAAACCTCCCTGGCTGGATATTACAGGCTAATGAATATGACAAACTATTTGCTGCTGTCAAGTTTTAAAACAAGCTCTGTGTTCAGGTATGTATGAAGTTGGCTGGCTGCTACAGAATTTTGCTTATTTCTCATTTTGTACTTTTTATGCCATCTAAAATGAGTGTGAACACATTAGTTCTATTCCAGCAAGAATGTAGTACCTCATTTCAGGATTTCTGCAGATGGGAGTTCCTATAAAAGTATATAATTACACTAGAGAACCAAGGATGCCTCCTAAAAACCTAACCTTGATTGAAAAAGAATTTCCTTTAGGTTCTCACCCTAGCAGAGCGCATAGAGGATGAATTCCCTTACCCCCTTTCTAATACAGCTTCTAATACACCTAAAAACCCAATCTAAGAAACTCATTGGAAGTGTATTCACCCACATAAATAGTGTGCAGATGCTTCCAAGACAGATAAGAAGAGGTGATCTTGGGGTGATCTTGTCAGTGGAGAGGAGTCTGAGCTATAAAAATTAGATTAGGAGTTGCTCATAGTATATGAGTAGGGGCCAGGGGCGGACTGACAACTCATGGGGCCCCCAGGCAATAAGGGATCATGGGGCCTCTGTGTCCTTGCCCAAACTCAAAAAAGCCTAAGAAAAAGGTACATGGGGCCCCCTATTGACCCCGGGCCCTCGGGCAGTGCCCGAGTTTCCAAATGGTCAGTCCGCCCCTGGTAGGGGCAGAACGATTGGTATTTTCTAGGAGAGGTAGCAGAAACCTAGCTGATTAACCTCCCTGGCGGTATTCCCGAGTGTAGCTCGGGGTAAAATTTGAGTACCAAGAGCGGTAACCCTGAGCTACACTCGGGCTTACCATGCAGTGTTGCTCAGGGAGTCCCTGCAGCTCTTACCTTGTCCTTCGCTCCCGCGATGTGTCCCCTGCAGCGTCCCCGGCCATCTCCTCCAGCCGATGCCGGCATCCGGCTTCCGTGTTTCGGTTCCTGTGACGTCGGGACGTACGGCGGCAAATTTGAAATTTATAAAAAATGTCATTTTTTTAAAAATGATTATTATATAGTAAAACATTGGTGTTTCAATGCATTTCACATATATTTTGTCCCTACTGCTTTGTCCTGTGCCCTGCCTACATTTTGACTGTTCTTTCTGCCTGGAAACTGAGAAACGTCCATGGCGTCCAAAAAGCGTCCCTTTATGTCAAAAGCGGTTTTAGACCGGCTAGAGAACAGCGATAGTAAATCAGAACCACTTGCAGAATTGAGTGATAATGATTCGTGGGAGAAATTCGTCATCAGACACTGAAAACGATTTTGCGACTTTGCTCAGCGATGTGCGAACTTGCCTCTGTATTTCAAATTTCAGTGTTTTTGGTTTGATTATATTATTGAATTAAATTTATTATTATATTATTTTTTGTGATTATTAATTAAATTATAATTTATGATTCCGTGTTTCAAGTTTTATCATATACAGAATATTTACTAGACTCTTGTTCGGACAGATTTCAGTGAGTTATTCCTAAAAATTACAGCCTACAATAAAAAACTACATATTTCCATGCAAAAAAATGGTACCGCTTTCAGCACCAAAAATCGAAATAATCATATCACCAGGGAGGTTAAGGGAAGGAGGTAGTTGAGGAAGTATGTGCACCATTTTTCTTTGTGGAGAGTCACATAATGAAAAGTGAACCAACTCAGTGAAATCAGACAGATGTCCCCACCCCGTCATTCTCATGCAGACATTTTTATTTATTTCAGGTACTTATATAGCACCGTCAATGTACGCAGTGCTTCACACACACACACACACACACACATATATATAGTACATTCACATCAGTCCCTAACCCTCAAGGAGCGTACACGCTAAGGTCCCTAACTCACATTCATACACATACTAGGGCAATTTAGACAGGATCCAATGAATTTACCAGCATGTCTTTGGAGTGTGGGAGGAAACCCACACAGGCACAGGGAGAACATGTAAACTCCAGGCAGGTGGTGCCGTAGTTGGGATTCAAACCAACGACTCTAGTGCTGCCAGGCAAAAGTTATAACCATTTAGCCACTGCGCTGCCCAATGTGCCTGTCCAAAGCTAACCACACACAAACATTTCTCAAACAATTCTTCCATCTACACTGTTTAGCTGCTGAGTACCTACAGGGACATAACTCGAATTTTGAGCAATTCATGCACTCTGCCAAATAAGCATTTGACTTTCTGCTGCGAAAATATATTTTCTGAAAAGGTGATATTAATTTGCAGGGTGCTCTCATTGACCTTCTTCTAAGAATGCTGGTTGCCAGACTGTCACACTGATCAAACACTTTTAACAGTTTGAGTCACTGACCCAGGTGACTTCAATGTCATTTATAGTTCGCATATATCTTTCAGCATGGATCTTCTTTAAAGGTCCACAATAGGGACAATATTGTATTCTGGTATCTGTATAGATCAATTGACCGTATTCAGTATATGAATTCCTTTTACACCACGTACCTTTCTTTATATGTTCCGTCTCAGGCAGACCAAGCTGTCCATCAAAAGAGATATTGCAGGGGATGGTATAAACCATATAATACTGTTGCTTACAATGGTCAGCATTTATTCATGTGGCATAAACCTTTTTAAAAAAAAAAAAGCTGTTGCTGTAACTTCCTAAAATGTATTAACTGGAGTTGGACTTTGTCACCAACTTAATTTTCTGACTAAAGTTCCACTTTAACCACTTGACCTCCAGGAAAAATCAAATCTTTTCATAAATTTAGGACAAAATGTATTCTTCTACGTCTTTGGTAAAAAAAAATCCCAATAAGTGTATATTAATTGGTTTGTGCGAAAGTTATAGAGGTTTATTTACTAAAGCTGGGGAGTGCAAAATCAAGCTCACTTCTGCATAGAAACCAATCTGCTTCCAGGTTCTATTGCCAAAGCTTAACCACTTTCTAACTGGGCTATAGTTTGAGGCGTGCATCAGGAGTGCTCTGTGATCGCTGTGTCCTTTGGACACAGCTGATCACAGAGAGGGGCAAAGGGCCAATCACAGCAGCTCTTTACCACGTGATCAGCTGATCACAGTATAAATAGACTGGGGCAGTGTGAGGAGAAGAAAGCTGGTAATTGGCAATTCTCCCGAGAACATCTACACTGATAGAAACATCATTGCCCTGATTATCAGCGCAACCCCATAATATGTCAATCAGTGCTGCCTACCAGTACCTCCTTATCAGTTCTGCCCATCAGTGCTTATCAGCGCCCATAAGTGCAGCCTCATCAGCAAAGGAGAAAAAATTACTTATTTGCAAAATTTTATAACAGAAACTAAGAAAAACGATTAGTTTTTTTTTTAAAATTTTCGGTCTTTTTTTGTTTAGCAAAAAATACAAAAATTGTGGTGATCAAATACCACCAAAAAAAAGCTCTGTCTGTCTCAAAAATGTAGTATAAATGTCATATGGGTACAGTGTTGCATGACCACGCAGTTGTTATTTAAAGTGCGGCAGCATTGAAAGCTAAAAATTGGCCTGGGCACGAAGGGGGTTAAAGTGCCCGGTAGGCAAGTGGTTAATTGAACAAGCAGAGGTTAGCAGCTTATTGCAGAAGTGAGCCTAATTTTGCAATCTCCAGCTTTAAACCCCATAGCATCTACAAACTATGGTATATACAGCGAATAAAATAAGTATTGAATACATCACCATTTTTCTAGGTAAATATATTTCTAAAGGTGCTATTGGTATGAAATTTTTACTACATGTCGGTAACAACCTATGAAATACATACAAAGAAACCAAATAAATAAGTTCAGAAATTAAGATAAGTATAGTAAAATGGCGTGAACCAGGGAAAAAGTATTGAACACAGGAAGAAAGGAAGGTGCAAAAAGGCATGGAAAGCCAAGACACCAGTAAATGCACTGTGGTGGGGCGGCAAGAGGTTATAGTCCATTTAAAACTACATGTTCATCTAAGACAGACTACCCTATCTGCAGGGTGACAATAATGCAGAATGAACAGTGCTGTCACCTTGCTAAAGGAAGTTGAAATCTATCCTTTCTACTGGCAGGATCACCAGGTAGTAAAACTTTGTTTTGGGGGGGGGGGGGGGTGGCCACACATATTATTGCTGATATGACTAACTACTAGAGCTGTATACATTTTTTTCTTTTTTATGACCTCTAAGTTGTGGCAAGGAGCCAGTTTGGATGCAAACAACGCTCTTGCACATCGCTAGATAAGTTCATAAACATAAAGTAAACCATTATCTTCATTTTTTTTTTTTCCCTCCATAGAAAAACCATTGTGATATAATGATTGAAATAACAGAAGAGGATCCATTTGGAAGCCATGTTAATGGATGTTTCGAATGCTAGTAACAAAAGTTTAGATGGATTCTACAATGATCTTCGCAGAAAATATCCCAACACATTCACCATCGCAACTGACTTGGGCAAAGGAGATGGATCAGTCCAAAAACTGCCACGCCTGGATAGAACACCTTCTCTGGCACCACAGAGGAGCCTACCCAGTCCCTTTCACAGTGATTCCCAGGGATGGACTCCTGACAGCTTCCTGTCCAAGGTGAAGGTACAGAAATGTCAAAATGAGCAGAAACCGGAAGTGGAAACTTTCCAAAGGAATGGGGGTGCTGTTATTATCCGGGACAAAACCAAGCTTGTGCCCATATGGAATAAAAGAGACTACTTAGCTGCTCAGAACCAGGCTTTATTTCGTCTGCCAAACCTACATACTCAAGTTGAACAAAACAAAGCTGAGTTACAAAACAAGCTGAACATCTCCAGAAAAGCCAGCAAAGAAGCAAAAACTAATCAAAGTGCAACAGGATCACTAAGCAAAAACCAAAAGCCAGCAGAGGTCAGGTCGTCTAAGGAAAGTATATCTACTGGAGATGGTTCAGTAGCACCTGCAAATGTTCCCAAGCCTAAACCTGATCTTTTGGGAACCATCATGAAAGAACTTTTGCCCAGCAAGCCTGGGAAGTTAATGACAGACCTGCCCAAGAACAATGACATCTTATACTGGAATGGTAAACATTTATCCTAAAAAGACACTACAACATACTGATTTTTCCTAGAGAAATGAAAAATGATCTATTTCCCATATCATTAAAGAACCAGCATAGTTCCATAAAACCACACCATTAGTCCCTGCCCATAAAGGTGCTTACAATCTAATACACCTAAACATATACAGGGTGATTCATATTTATGTCCAATTTTTTTTTTTCAAATTCTTTATGCAGACAACACTGCATTCACAGAGCAATAAAATATAGCCAAAATAGTCCAATTTTTTTTTTTTTGTATCTTGCCGTGATAATTGAAGCTTTTGGATGAGGTATGGCATTTCATTGCTTTATGGTATGATCATCCATTTCCTTTAGTACTTTCATTATTTCGTTTCGCCTTCTGCTGTGTGTGGCAGAACTTTCCCATGCGAGTTAGCAGGCTGCCAGTGTTGCTGCAAACGTAGATGTGGCAATCCCCATTTCCCATGCAGAGATGGTGGAGAACAGTTAGAGAATAACATAAGACCTTGTATTACAAAACCATAAAGAGGCTGGACAACAACTCGATGGCTAGCAGTCCAGTAAATCAGCAGAGGGGCGCTGTGCAGCAAAAGACAGCTGTCACAGAGGAAAGAACAGCTGCCGCAGCTAAGTGCTTTGTTGCAAAGGGCCATGCAGAAATTTCAGCCCTGACTGGAGAAATATGTTGCTAATGCTGGTGTATATGTTAAATTTCAACAAAAGACCATGACTAAACCACCTTGTTATACTCAGTTTAATGTCATTGACCTTGTCATATGCAAATAAAATGTTGGACATAATTATGGATCACCTTGTATACTCTAGAACAGGAGTCCCCAAGCTTTTTAAACAAAAGGGCCAGTTTGCTGTCCGTAAGAGATTATGGGGGCCAGTGGGAGTAGAAAATGCCCCAGTTTCAAGGGGAAGAAACAATGATGGAGGCTTAATAGTCAGTGAGAGTTGAATATGCCTCAGAGTTGTTGGTCAGTGGGAGTAACAACTGTTAAGTTGGAGGAGGAAAAACATGTCATTGTTTGTGTCACTGAAAATATATAGTGCCTAATTGTTGGTGTCAGTTGAAGGAATTGTTCTTCATTATTGGTGTCTGTGGGAGGAATGGTTCCCCATCCTTGGTGTAAGTGGGAGAAATGATGCCCCATCGTTGACAACAGTGGGAGGAATTGTGCCCCATCAGTGGTGTCAGAGGAGGGAATAGTTACCCATCTGTGTCAGTGAAAGGAATAATACTTCATCAATGACTTTAGTGAGAGGAATTGTGTGAGGAACAGTGCCCCCAGGGCACATTTGGCCCTTTAAGAACCACAGCTCTAGAACATGTTTTCGAAGGCACCAATTATTCTTGAATTGTGTAAAGTATTTGGAACTCTCTGGGAAATCCCAAGTAAATATACACACAGTGGCACTGTGCTCCCAGTGAGGGATATTTGAAGAAAACCTGACAGCTTTCACGCTGACCCTTTTATTGAAGTCAGTAAGTCAGCAGTGGCAGCCTCCATGCTTCTGTTAGGAGAGTTTATGTAATTTATAACCATATTAGTCTTTGACTGCTCTAGTTTTTAAAATGTTTGCATAAGAACAGCATTCCATGTGTCTATAATCCTCCTAGCAGCAAACAACATATCATTGTTTTAAAAACTATCACTCACAAACCTTTTATTATCCTCTTGATTTCAGGTGCTGGTGTTTCAGATAATGACTCTGGAGTTTCCATGTGCACACCCATAAAAGTATTCAGGTATATTGTGCATATTATATATTAGTATACATAAGTCTAGTATACATAAGTCTAGGTTCACACATATGCAGGTTGCGTTTGATGCGTTTCTACATTGTGTTTTGCGTTTTTGATGCGTTTTGCAGTTTGCAGGGATTTTTAAATGCGGCAGACTTTAAATGCAAAACGCAGTAAAAAATGCCGCAAAAACGCAATACATGCTTTTCTGCAGCGTTTTCATTGAAGTCTATAGAACCAAAAACATTTTGCATTCAAAAAGTCCCTGACCTTTTCCAAAAAATGCACCAGGTGAAAACTCACAGGTGTGAACATGTCCCATAGGAAATCATCTTAAATGGACTACTGCGATTCTGCAAAACGCTTAGGTGGGAACCTAGGGTAAAAGAGGGTGGCCTCGCTCTCTTTTTCAGTTATTTTACTTATATAAAAAGCTTATTTTACTACCTATGTTTAAAGGATAAGTTCATCTTGGGAACATGTTACATGTTCCACCCGTTTTTAGGATGGAACATGTAACATGTTCCCATAGCTGCAGCCCCCTCCCCCCCTCCCTCTGACAGATAGTATTGGGAAACTTCTCCCTGTACTATCTATCGAATTTGAAAACAGTGCGGCCATGTTATTCACTCACGGACGTCCGTGAATGAATGAACTGCAAGACCCGACAGCCTTAGCTGCTGAAGACTTGTAGTTTTCAGTGAACTACCATGGCTCTGTGGAGCGCTGTGGTAGTTGGTAGTTCTTTGAAGCTTCCAGTCAGAATATATGCTTGACTGTACATCCCATATGGCAAGCAGATATTCTGACAGGTCTGCAGGAGACCTGCATGGCATCAGTGACCTACTGATCACTGGTGCAATGCTTTTCAGGCTCCTTTGGACAAGAAATAATAAATTCACATTTTTTTACCTGCAAAAAAATGTGCATTATTCTTGTCCAAAAGGGGATCTTATCCTTTAAATGTATCTTTAAAATAAAGTAAAAATAATAGTGGCCCATCAATTAGGTACCACTAAATAGACATTAAAGTGTTACTAAACCCTGGTTTCCCACAGTACACACAACATGGAAATGCAATTATTTTAGTAACTATAAACTGCTAAATACCTTTTCTCTCAGAAGTTAGAGCAGTCTTGTGACTTCAGCAGAACACTGGTTAAAGCTTGTAGAAGTTTTTTTTCTGCTCTAGGAGGATGTAAAACCCCTGACCCTCTGGATAGTGCTGATTGGCCCTGTGATGATCACATGCACTCTCCCAAGAAAAGAAAAAAAAACCTCCAGCAATACACACCAAACTGAGCATGTGCCTACAGATTCAGTCTGTATCGTCATTTCAACAAGAGGAGGGGCAGAGAAGAAAGGATCAAACAGCCTTTTACACAATGCAAAGGATTTACCTCTTAGGTTCCACAGCTAGTATAACAAGCATGCTTTACTGCATATACAGACTGATTTTACTGTTGTGGGTTTAAGATTCCTCACAGGCCCAGCAGGGAAAAGTTGCCTGTGATCTAGTGAGCAATAGCAGGTGAGGGTAAGACTGCAGGGAGTAAGGGGGCTAGGGGTATTTCAATTAATTTCTTTTGTTTGCTCTCTTTGGATCTGTTGAAAATACAAATGAAAGTGTTTTGTTATTGTTAATCACGCCAAAAATCTTGTGAATTGATAACTTCCTGTACACTTTTCCTGTGTTGACTTATTAATTTGCATTGTTCTCAGCTATGTGTGTGGACTACCAAACACTAGGGATGAGCTCCCAGTTTGGTCCAAAGCCATGCTTGTTCAAAAGTCCAGCAAGCTGAAGAACTAAATAAAGTGCTCAGCATAAATGAGTACACCCCAACAGATTTGTCAGAAAACCTTTACTTTCCCTACAGAATCAACATTTTCTATGGGACACTATACTACAAAATACTCCCACAAATGCAGGCCATTGATTGCAAACAAGATTTGTTCATTTGCACACACAAAAAAGTATTTTTTTCTAACAAATTCATACAAGACCATGTTGCAAAAATGAATACACCCTAATGAAAGTGTTATGAGCAAAGCTAAATTTTAGACAACAAAATCCTAGTTCACAGGAATACAAACTACAGTTGAGTCTAATTATTCATTAAACAGGTGTCCAGCAGACAGTTGATTATAAAAGGGCATTACTTAAAGAAAACCCCTTCCCATTTCATGCTGTCAGCAATGGCACCACATGAAAGAGAAATATCACAAGGCCTGAGAAAGAAAATAATTTCTTTACACAAGAAAGGTGAAGACTACAAGAAAGATCAGCAAAGCTTTATTTATCAATCAGAATACTGTAGCAAAAGTGATACAAAAATGTAACAAAGATGGAACTGCAACCATCTCGCAGAGATGTCCAGGCCATCCAAGGAGTGTCTTTTGATGAGAAGGGTTGAAAATCGGCATGCAAGTTCACTGGAGTTAGCTAAAGAAGTAGAAAGCCAAACTGGGTTGATTGTTTCTGTGACACAATACGGCGTACACTGCAGAAGAATAGCATGCATGGGTGTCATCCACGAAGGAAGCCTCTCCTAAAGCCCATGCACAAAAAAAGCCCGCTTAGAATTTGCCAGGGCCCATGCTGAAAAAGAAGACTACTGGGACTCTGTACTCTGGAATGAGACCAAGATAAATGTTTTTGGAACTGATGGTTTCAAAACTGTATGGCGTTGCAAAGGTGAGGAGTACAAAGAAAAATGTATGGTGCCTACAGTGAAATATGGTGGTGGCAGTGTCCTTCTGTGGGTTTGCATGAGTGCTGCTGGTTTTGGGGAGCTTCATTTCATTGATGGGATTATGAATTCACAGATGTACTGCTCTATACTGAAAGAGAAGATGCTACCATCACTCCGTGCCCTCGGTCGTTGTGCACTTTTCCAACACAACAATGACCCAAAACACACATCTAAGGCCAAATTATTTCATTTCTGTGGAAGAACAGGGTGAAAGTGATTCAGTGGCAAAGTATGTTCCTGATCTGAACCCAATCGAACACCTATGGGGAATTCTGAAGAGACAAGTTGAGCATCACTCTCCATCCAGCATCCAGGCTCTAAAAGAGGTTGTTCTTGAAGAATGAAAAAAGATAGATGTTGTAAATATGTCGCCAACTTGTTCATTTCATGCCTAGAAGACTTGGTGCTTTCTTTACAAAATCATGGGAGGTCATACAAAATACTAGATGGTGTAGTTTTTATTGTGGGGTGTATTCATATTTGCATCAAATAGTTATATTATTAACCTTAGTTTCATGTAATGAGCTAAACAAATGTTCTATAAAACTCAGTTTTGTAAACATTTTCTAAATTGTTCTTGTGTTCATTGAGCTATTGATTCAAATCTTACTTTTCAAAAGGAGTGTACGCATTTATGCTGAGAACTGTATGTGTTTGGCTGAGCTGAACCTCTACCTGCAGTGGAAAACTTATCAAATTATTTACCAGTGCTTTTACTACAGCTTAATGTAGAAAAGAATGGGCGGGGATAAAACCAAAAGAAAATGGCATTGCCCCCTCCCCCCCCCCAATTCTTCTTAAGGAGATCCCCACTCTAAAAAACAAGGAAAGAAAAGCTTGGGGCTCTTCCAAAAGTCTATACCAGGCCCATATCCATCCATGCTTGCAGCCATGCTGTCCAGGAGAGAAGGGGGTCGATCGTGCGTTATCTCCCCTCCTCAACCATGCCACAGCCCCTTAACATAGGGAGGGTACCTTGCCATTTTACTTTTTAAAGTTTACTTGCCGCTGTTTACTTTTTCTGTGAATGAGTAGGGAGACTTCTTCGCACCCCTTAATCATTCAAATTAAGTTTAGTTACGTTGTTGAACTGGATTTTTGAAAGGGGCTTCCAGATTCCAGTAAGCTGTCTGCAAACCCCCACAACCACTGGCTAGAGGTGTGGGAGAGAGGCCCTTGTCCTCATCAAATTGGGGACAAGCTGTTTTGCCAGGGAGGTCTCTCTGAGCAAGGTATGTGGTCTGGTATAGTTCAAGAGGGTGGGGAACACACACACACTACCCTGAACTCAGGTACATTTGGTTCATCAGTATAAAACACTTTCCCAATGTTGTGGCGATAAAGAGCATAGGAGGTACTAAGTAGTCCTGTCCCAGGCTGACAACACTGCCCCAGCACACATACAGTACAGGGAGTGAGATTTATCATGCTAGGACTAGAAGTGTGTTACTGGCAGGGTCAACAGGTGAAATAAAGGAAAAAAGACTGAAAAAAAAAAGTGCACAGATATGGAAGAAATAGTGCTAGTGTGAGATGAGACTAATATTTTAATTCTGATATTTCTAAGGCCAAAAATCAGGAGTCCTCATGATGCTCCCGCTCCAAGTGACATAATAAAAAAATTCTCTGCTAAGCCCAAGGCACACTCTGGACCAATGAAAGCAGATCATACAGTATTACCAGAAAACATGTAAGTACTTTTTCTTTATACAGCATGGTCAGGAGGGACTATTTAAAAAACTAAGAACAATTTTAGCTTTATATACACTTTTAGTTTAAAGCTTAAAAGGGTATTTTAGTGTTAAACACAATTGAAACACTTCTATGTTTACTGTTCTTTCTGCCAAAGTAGCCTTTCTCAACCATGGTTCCCTCTGAAGTAGCTAGGGGTTCCTGGAGTAATGAGCAATGTCTGCCTCTTAGATACCCAACCAATGACATGATTATTTTAGCTATCTGTAAATTGGGGTCTCCTCCAATGACTTCAAGTGTAAGGAGCATTCTTCCCAGTGACTATCACATTAATGTACAGTATTATGAGCTGATTTTACTGCTTTAACCGTGGCCCTTCAGCACATGAGCATAAACTGAGCATGTGCTGAAGGGCCACGGTTATGTTTATCTTAGTCATGGTCATTTTAAAAAGAGGAGGGGTAGAGATCACAGGATTAAATGGATTTTTTACACACTGCAGAGGGTTAACCCCTTAGGTTCCACATGGATACCTGGTCATATGGGTTCAGTGGGTTGTAAAGGAACAGTGGGAATTCAGGGAGAGAAAGGATCTCGTGGTCATTTTGGACACGGAGGCACGCCAGGCTTTTCTGGGGAAAAGGGATTTCCTGACAAATGAGGTCAGTCAGGTCCACCTGGCCCTTTGGGAGATGTTGGTGACAAGGGTCCACCTGGATACTGGGGAAATGTTGGTCTAGCTGGCACAAAAGGACTCAAGGGAAAAATTGGCATGCCAGGAGCAGCTGGTGATCAACTTTTTTGTTCCATGCACGTGCCCTTCATATGCCTGACACTGATGATGCATATGGAGTGGGTGTGAACGCCATTTAAGCCATGGTTGGAGGCTGTAGAGGAGGCTGGAGTGGTTGCCTTAGGATTATATCTCTGCCCAATTTGACCATTCTATAACATGATGGTCAAATTTATCCAGTAAGCTTTCCTTGAGCACTGAGTGGGGTGACACGTGTTTCAACCACTAGAAAAAGAGTAAACAGGTGGCGCACACACCTAGTGCATTATTCAAGGTTTATTCAAAGGTATAAAAGACAAAAACATACAGATGAAGCATGTATAAAAAAACTTTTGCATAATGAAGATGGCCACGACGGCGGGCAAGGCGTTCCAACTATCAGTGCGGTAAGGAGCTGACGCGTTTCGGAAAGTTCCTTTCCTCAGAGCTGCTGACCAGCCTATCGGACTGGTTCAGATGTGATGTGACTGAGGTAGACTGATGGTAGAAACAAAACAGTGGGGCTACTGATCGCACTGACAGTTGGAACACCGTGCCCGCCGTTGTGGCCATCTTCATTATGCAAAAGATTTTTATACAAATCTTCGTCTGTGAGTATGTTTTGTCTTTTATACCTTTGAATAAACCTTGGATAATGCACTACAGTTGCAAGAAAAAGTATGTGAACCCCTTGGGATTACATGGAGTTTTGCATGAATTGGGCATAAAATGTGCTCTGAACGTCATCTAAGTCACAACAATAGAAGAACACAGTCTGCTGAACATAATACTACACAAACATTAGATGTTGCCATGGTTTAATTGCACATAACATGTAAACATTCACAGTGCAGGGAGAAAAAAGTATGTGAATCTTTGGACTTAATAACTGGTTGACCCTCCTTTGGCAGCAATAACCTCAACCAAACGTTTCCTGTAGTTGCAGATCAGACCTGCACAACGATCTGGAGTAAATTTGGACCACTCCTCTTCACAAAACTGTTTCAGTGTAGCAATATTCTTGGGATGTCTGGTGTGAATCGCTCTCTTAAGGTCATGTCACAGCATTTCAAATCGGGTTGAGGTCAGGACTCTGACTGGGCCACTCCAGAAGGCGTATTCTTTGCTGTTGCAGCCATTGTTTTGTTGAATTACTTGTATGCTTTGGGTCATTGTCCTGTTGCATCACCCATCCTCTGCGGAGCTTCAGTTGGCGGACAGATGGTCGTACGTTTTCCTTCAAAATGTCTCGATAAACTCTGGAATTCATTTTCCCATCAATGACAACAATCTGTCCAGGCCCTGAGGCAGCAAAGCAGCCCCAAACCATGATGCTCCCTCCGCCATGTTTTACAGTGGGGATGAGGGTTTTGATGTTGGTGTGCTGTGCCTTTTTTTTCTCCACACATAGTGTTGTGTGTTCTTCCCAAACAACTCAATCTTGGTTTCATCTGTCCACAGTATATTTTGCCAGTAGTGCTGTGGAACATCCAGGTGCTCTTTTGCAAACTTCAAACGTGCTGCAATATTCTTTTTGAACAGCAATGGCTTCCTCCGTGGTGTCCTCCCATGTACTCCATTTTTGTTTAATGTTTTCCTTATTGTAGATGTGTCAACAAAAATGTTAGCATGTGCTAGAGATTTCTGTAGGTCTTTAGCGGACACTCTGGGATTCTTCTTTACCTCATGCAGCAATCTGCGCTGTGCTCTTGCAGTCATTTTTACAGGACGACCATGCCTACGGAGAGTAGCAACAGTGCTAAACTTTCTCCATTTGTAGACAGTCTGTCTTACCGTGGACACATGAACATCAAGGCTTTTGGAGATACTTTTGTAACCCTTTCCAGCTTCATGCAAGTCAACAATTCTTGATCGTAGGTCTTCTGAGAGCTCTTTTCTGCGAGGCATGGTTCACATCAGACAGTGCTTCTTGAAACCAGTAAACCCAAAACAGGTGTGTGTTTAAGGGCAGGACAGCTGTCAGCAACACATCCAATATCATCACACTGATTGGAGTCAAGGTTGGCTCACTCCTGGCTCCAATTAGCTCTGGGAGAAGTCATTAACCTAGGGCCTCACATACTTTGCAGACTTGCAGAATACCAAGATATGGCCTTCCAAACCATGATTGAGCCATCATCATGCTTTACCATTGGCACAAGACAGTCCTGGTCGTAAGCTTGGGACAGTGTTCGCCACACATAAACACGTCCAGTAGTTGTGAACTGTGTGAAGCTCGATTCATCAGGTCATATTACAGTCTTTCATTGAGTGATAGTCCACAATTTATGGATGTTGCACCACTCTCTCCTTTTCTGAGCAGTAATAGTGGTCACTAGTAGTTTGGCAATTGCAACTCACCCGTGAATGTTTTGCTTATGGAGTTCCCCTCAGCACAGTTTTTGTGGACATGGGCTGTGGAAGACTGAGATTGAGCTCTGCAGTCACTTTTGCAGCAGTTGTTTTCTCATTCCGGGTCACAATCCTGCGCAATGTCCTTTTGTCTCTTTCAGTCAGTTGACCATGTTGACCGCGCTTATGCTTATCAGACAACATTTTCACGGAAACGGTATATGATGTTGCAACCTTTGGTATTGTTACTCGCAGCATGGCAAATAAATTGGCAACTTCAATCACAGGGGCACCAATAATTTGCCCTCTTTAAAGCTCTGACATGACTTTGTATTACTAGCAGCACACACAGTGAATGACAAAATTGAGGCTTCCCACCTGTTAACTAGGTGTCTCATCCAACAGCGGAAGCAAAAGAGAGTGTTACATCATTTTCGCTTTCAACACGAAACAAGTTGTCACTTTCAAACCTGCAAATCATGTAGTGTTTGTGTTTTTGTCCAACCTCCTTAGTAATCATTGAAAGGGGTTCCCTGAGACCGGAAAGTTATTTAAAGGATTAAACAGTTAAGACTGTGGAGAAGGATTCATAATAATGTTTATCCAAGCTTGTCATTCATTTGTAGTGTAGTGTCAGGCAGATGACACCCTAATTTATAAGTTCAGTAATTCAGCTAAATAAAGACGAACTGCGTCAGTTGGTGATGCTGGCTTGTTTAATAAGACCTGATCCCCACTGAAATATTTAGAAGATGTCAGCACATGTTTGGCTTGGTACAAAGAACCGGCACTGTGCAGTGTGGAAAAGTGAATGAATGACATGACTGCCGGTAAAACATAGACATTCTTTTGGCAGGTAAAACATTGAATATGGATGCTTTTCAACTGTGTTTAGCTGTTGGCATGGAGATCAGCTGAAAAGTTACATTTTAGGGTTCAAAACAAGCCTTTGCTCTAAACCATGTAGTACTTTGCTTTCTATTTTCCCCCACTTTGCAGCAGCACAGACTATCATTGTCTTCAATCTGTTGCTGCAAAAGTTGTCCACAAAATGGCTTTTCTTGCGAAATGACCTGAAATTCTACCCAAAAGCGCTTTGTCTGTCCACCTGGTTTGAAAAACGTTGACTGAATGATTGAAGGAGCCGGGTGGAAAATTGTTGGGTGACAATCAGATGCAGCCACTGTTTAGGTATCCAGGCAGCTGTGGGCGCTGCAGCTGCTTGAATGCAATAGCTGGCAGCACATATACTTTTATTTATTACAGTTACTCATATAGCGCCGTCAATTTACACAGCGCTTTACATACACACACATATATATATATATATATATATAATATATATATATATATAAATAAATAACATTCACATCAGTCCCAAACTCATACTAGGGCCAATTTAGATAGGAGCCAATTAACCTACCAGCATGCTTTGGAGTGTGAGAGGAAATTGGAGTACCAGGAGGAAACCCACTCAGGCACAGGGAGAACATGCAAACTCCAGGCAGGTGGTGCCTTGGTTGTGATTCGAACCAACGACCCTAGTACTGCCAGGTGGAAGTGCTAACCATTTAGCCACTTTTTTACCCAGAGATTACTTTTGTTCAGCCTGCAGGCTGATTGCCAGAAATCTTTGTGGCTAGCCTTAAAGTAAGCAAAAAACTTTTTTTACATTTTGGATGGAGTAAGGGAGGGTTAGAACCCCTGTCAGTTTATTTTTTTTGCCATCTTGGAGATTTCCCTTCACTTCCTGTCCCATAGCCAAAACAGAAAGTGAAAGGAAATCCCAGCAAAGTAACAGAATTCCTTGGGGACCTCCAGATCACCAGAACCAGTATCTCCATGGGCAGATATTCCCACTATTACTTTTCTGGGGACAACCCACAATTTGGGGTTTCTTTTAATTGTTGGTTATGTGTTAGAGATGACACTGGTAGCTTGTGATGAGGCAGAACACTGTTTTACTTGTCTGGCTTAAGTTGCAAACATACAGAACACATTTCAGCAGACATCGTGGTTTTTTTGAAGAGAGGAAGAGAGAAAATAGGAAGAGAGAGAACCAACAAGTTTTACACATATGCATAACTAGTAGCCTTAGTGTACAATGCCATCTACTGGTCAAGTGATATTAACACACAATACTATATAGTACATGCTGTTGTATTCCCAACATTAATTTCGCTTTAAATAACGGTAAACAGGACAAATAGAGAGGATAATTCTCCTTAACAGGGGCACAGACAGCAATAAAAACCTGACAAAAAAACAATTTACCGTTAGTTGTACTTTAAGCTAAGAGATTCCTCCAACCACGCTATACAGCAGGGATGGACACATCTTCCAATAAAGCTACTGTATTTTTGAAAGCCAGCCCTGCCAGCTTTCAAAATACTCAAAGCAGCCGTAATTCAGGGGACATTTTTCCTGGCTCCTTTAATTTTGCAGTCAAAGGATAATCGGGTAGGAGGGGGCCAACAGGGCCACCAAGCCAATTTTGGCCTATTCATCAGGAACGAGACAAAATTAGTTACAGTGTATGGTCAGCTTTAGTTCAGTTGTTGGGGGCAAAGAACAAGGAGTAGACAAAGTCACCATCCTTGGGTAAGTTTAGGTTAATGACAGAGATTACACAGCTCTTTCTTTTCTCATTCCTGGCTGCTGAACAAAAACAGTGGAGGAACGAATGCTGCTAGGGAGGGTATAAAAGTTCCCCTTCCTAGCCCCCTCAGTTTGAATGAAGAAAAATGGTGGGTAGGTGATGTCACAATCTCCTCCTCATCCAATCAGTGGAAGCCATGTATTTATTGAAAAAAATACAAGGCTTTCGAATGGTGGCAGTGTCAAGAGAGTGACCTCCTGTGGTTACTATACAGAATTGCAGGCTCGTACCCGGAGATGAAAGGCTGCTGCCATCACTATAGTATTGGAAACTACTACAGTGATTTGCAGCTTACACGTCTCATTCAGGCATGAACTATGCATACTTACATTGTTTCAAGCTGGACAAATGTAACTATGCACATAAAAAAATTAATTATACCTACGTTGTCGCAAACGTGTGCATCAGAGATGGACGCGGTTTAACCATTTTGGCTTCAACCTCCATCTTGGCGAAAGAATTGACCCTCCTTATATATGTTATTCCCTCATTCTCTTTTCCCCCCCTCCCTTCCTGAGAGGCACAGTGACAGATGTGTGTTAAAAGTGTCACAGGCCAGATCCCAGCAGGGAGCCACGTGGTGCCCCACTGCCCTGAGAACATGTGTAATTTCACACCTCGTGAAAAGATAACGGAGCCTTCCCAGGAGTTGAAAGGGACTCTGGGCTAATAAAAACTTAACTCAGCATAGGTGACAGAATTAGATGAACACTTCTCCAATCTATTTCTCCCCTATGTTTCATATCTTGGAATATGAGAGACTTACATTAAAACCAGACATCCCGTCAGATGGGCTAGGAGCAGGCAAACCGTTTGATGGGTCATTCGAATTATCTCGGAGCATCTGGGGAGCCGAAACATAGAACTCGCGAACCGTGCCACATATAACTTCATAATTCATATCTAAATAATCCTCAGGATTATCTGCATAATAAAATACCTGCGGGTGGACTGTAGCTTGTGCAGCTGGGAAGTTATGAACCAGAATATGAATTATGAAAGATGTGGGCTCCAGTTTAGGGTTCCGCCCAACGATCCCTCCCTGCACAAGGGATTCGTTTGTTACTTCAGAACCACCCCCTGCTGGGAAACTTTAAAACAGGCTGTCAAGCCTAAGGAAGGTAGATTTGAAGGCATCTCCCATTTTTCCATCATAACAGCGGGAGATCAAAGCACTATTCTGCTCTAAAAAACTTGGATCTGCTTACATGAAAGGCTTACTGGCAAGTAACTTAACCCTTTAACTTCTCTCTTAGCTGTGCTATGCGGTTTTTCTGTATATATATATATATATATATATTAGTTACATCTTCTCTGTAAATATTTTTATTGCACCTGTTTGACCCTTTTAGTAATAAATCTCTCTTTCTGAAAGTGTTGAACTGTTTCTATAGTTCTTAATTGCAATTTACGAATCCCTGCCTTTAAGAGACGCTACGGTTTGTTTAACTCTCTGTATAACCGGCCTGTGTCAATGACCGGGTTATGCAGACGATTATTTCAATTATTATAGTGTTATAACTGATACCGCGAGTTTCTTCTTTCTCTGTACAAAAAGGAGGTGGTGGCATTGTGGAGGGTTAGTTGCGTAATTAACCCGACCCAGTAACAATCACTCAGGTCGCAGGTACATAGATTGTAGTCCATTAGCTGGAAAATCTTTGTGCAGGGTGCGGTTGGGCATGGTATTGTTACACACGTCACATAGCGGTTTTAGATCGGCCAGTCCTTTGGTCACGAGTTTGGTGAGAAGGTCAGGGGTCTGACGCCGCGATTGTGACATATGTAAACTTCAGATTTAAATTCCAGTTTACTGTATGGAATGTCACTACTGTACTTTTGAGAATGCCGCTCTAAACTTTTGTTAGCATTTTTGCTATTAACAGTGACATCTACAGGTAAAGGAGAATAGTAAGACAACACAGTCAATGTCATCATTATAGTCTCAACTGTTCAGTGTTACCAAAAAAATCTGTGTGTCTTTGTAGTGATCATAGTTTGGTATTTATAAAAAGTTGTTTCAAGATTTCTTTGTTGTGAAAGGGAAGTATATTAAATCTGAGTTTGTCTGACAGAACACAAATTGTGAATGTGGGAGAAAGTAGTGAGAAGATTTTCCTGAAGAAGAGTTCCATCAACTACAATGAGAAGATACAACAGAGGCCCCTGACAGCAAGAGTGCACTTTGAAGATGAATCCGAACACGAAGCACAGGTTCGCTATCAAGAAAGACATCTGTTAGAGAGAACTCATACAACTAAAATAAGATCAGATGTTTTGCCAAAACCGCAGTTAAAACCTATGGAAAGGATCAAGACCGTTAAACCAACAGAGATGTCTGCCTCACCATCAGCTGCTGAAAGATCACCAACAGCTGAACAAAAGACTACAAACCTTCCACACAGACGTCAACCTTTCCCACCAAACGTAGCAAAAAAAGTGTTAATTGATATTCCGAGAAGTGGTCTTCCCAGCAGGCAACCTGTTCAAATTCGGATGTCTCAAGCCATGAAGGACAAGCAGTTATCTTCTAGCATCAGCAAGGAGGCCAACTCTCTTGATGGGATCACTATGAGCTTTAAAAGTACCAGCCAGGAGTGGAAGGAACAAAACCCAAGTATCTCAGAAAGCAAAGAGAATAAAAGCAATCTCAGCTTCTCATCTCTGGAGACCATTGGCAGTGGAATCACCGAAGGTATTGTGTAATGTTGAAGCATATTTGCAGATTTTTACACCTGGAGGGGGGATCTACAGCAGTTTTATATATGGAAAACTGCCACATTCCCTCTGGTAATTAGGTGCAGAACCTGCTCTAGTTTCGGTTTCAAACTGGCTTAGGTGACGCTGATAGACTGAAACAGGTCCATCTGCTTATTTAATGTGGTGCCTGCTAATCCTGACAGTTTCCTGCGCCATTATACTGACACAGAAAGCTTAGTTAATTCCCTGGATTGTGTTAAAGATGGGGAAAAAATACAAAACTGCTGCAGATATGTATACCTGCAGCAGCCTCAAAAATGATACTTGTTAAGGCTGAATGGAGCTATTCTAGCAGATGAAGCCCTGAGGTAATCATGTAGTGTCAGAGCTTTCTGCGAAGCCACCCCCTCACACACAAACTAATTTTGTTTTTGGTCATCACTATAATGGGCAGCCTCACTGACTAACAGGAATGTGCATAGCAACCAATCAGCTTCTAACGTCAGCTTGTTCAGTTAAGCTTTGCCAATAAAACCCGAAAGCCGATTGGTTTCTATGCACAGCTGCACCAGATTCTGTTGCACGGTTTGTGTACTAAATATCCTCCCCCTCCCTTTCACTGTATGCTGGCATCCTTGTGTTTAGGCTTATGTTTTCTAGAGCTGGACACAAGGTTGAACACTTTGACATAAAAGCTAATTGAATATGAATAACTCCACAGCGCCATGGTAGTTAATTGAGAACTATAAACCGACAGCCGCCAAGGCTGTTGGGACTTGTAGTTTCTCATTCAGAGAACACTGTGAAGCCCCACACAGCTGCGTTTTTTTAAGCTTTGACAGCTAGCAAGGGGGGAGAAGATCCCGGGGAGCGGGGGTCGGTCTGATCGAAACATGTTACACCCTGAATATGGGTGTAACATGTTACATAAGGTGAACTTATCCTTTCAGCAAATATTGTAAATTACTTTCCTGTGTTTATACTGTATGCAGACTCACACAATCTAACAAGAATGTGTCTAAAAAGGCTTCTTCACAGTAAGAGCTGTGTAAATGTGGAAGACTCCCTCAAAAACTAGTTCTGGCCAGCTCAGTAGATTGTTTTAAAAAAGAGCTGGATGGATTCCTAAATGTACAATATATAACTGGATACTTTTATAGGTAATAACACTAGGAAATATCCAATTGCCACATGGATTGGGAGGGAATATTTTCCCCCTACTGGAGTGAGTTGGATCATGCTTTACTGAAGGTTTTTTTGGCATTCCCCTGGATCAACTGTGGGTATAGGATTGTGTATATGGAGGTTTTTTTTTTTATTGATTCAAGATTCAACTATATGGACTTTCAATCTAGGTATGCAAAATCTCTTCCCAATGACACTGCCAACACAGCGGCATATTTTTCCCCCCACTGACATCAGGGCTATGGGGTGCACAGGGGGCCCAGAGAATGCAGGTACACAGGACACAGTTGACGAACATGAGCAGTCTAGGACAGGAATTTTACTTACAGGTATGGTCTAGGGATAACAATGAATATACAGAGAAGGTGATGGCCCCTGGAAGGACTGAGGCATAGTCTAAAGTCAGCCATACACAGATTGAAATCTGGTTGGCTCAGCAGGGGCTGCCTATATTTCAATCCTTGTATGGGCATGGTAGTTGTACAGAAGTCGATCTACCAGTTGACTTCTGTACAACCATCCTGTCAGGCGTTACCTTCTAATTAGAGCTGTAGGCTATAGCCAGCAGCATTGATCAGTGTTATCTGACAGAGGGGGAAGGCTCGAGTGTGTGGATGGGGAAATCAAGTCTTTTTTTTTTTTTTTCCCTCCAACCAGGGGGTTGGGAAATCGAAAAAAACACCACCACTGACTCATGTATGGGCTGCTTAAACACGTGCCGTCCAGAGGATTTACCCCCCTTCCTGACCAGGCCATATTTTTGCATTATGGCGTTGCGTTACTTTAACTGACAATTGCGTGGTCATGCAAAGCTATACCCAAATGAAATTTGTGTCCCTTTTTCCCCACAAATAGAGCTTTTTTTCTGTGTTATTTGATCGCCTGTGTGTTTTTTATTTTTTGCGCTATGAAAAAAAAAAAAAGATGACAATTTTGAGAAAAAAAAACTGTTTTTGACTTTTTGCTATTAAACATATCCAGTAAAAAAAAATTTGAAATCAAATTTCGTCATACATTTAGGCCAAAATACATTGTGCGACATGTCTTTGCTAAAAAAAAAAAAAAAATCCCAATACGTGTAAATTAATTGGTTTACATGAAAGTTATAGCATTTACAAATGGCGGTATATATACTGGGCTTTTTTTTTTTTTTTAATTTTTACTAGTTAAGGTTGCGATCAGCGACTTATAGAGGGACTGCGGTGGGCATTTCTGACACTGGGGGGAACTGACTTGGTGTCACTGACATCCCCAGTGACACCAGTACAGTGATAAGTGCAAATAAAGGCACTGACACTGTACTAAGGGCACTGGGCATGAAGGGGTTATCACATGTGGGGTGATCAAAGGGTTAACTGTGTGCTGTTTTACTTGACGTCCTGTGTTTGTGCTTCACTGTACACACACACTACTTTGCATGGCTGTGCTATGCACGAGCTGACAGGGAGGAGAACTGTTATGTTTACTAAGTGTCCCCCCCCCCATCGGAGATCCTCGGCAATCACTGGGCACCGGCGAGTAATCACCGGCCAGGACCCGCTGATTGAGAGCCACGGCCACTAATGGCGGCGTGGGTAGGGCTCCACACCCCCTACCCAGAAATGTTAAGTCATGTGTATATATACACGTGATTTTGTGCACAGCTGCTGCCCTGTAGCAATATTTCTGCTATAGGGCGGAGCTAAAGCAGTTAAGGAACCTTCTGGTCCCCACGTTGCAGTTCTCAGACTTACCCAAACAGATAGCTACTGGGAACTAAGGTCCAATATGCAGAATGGAATCCCTTGTAGCGCTGAGGGCCAGGGATCACAGGACAGCAGGGAGTATATCCCAAGCTGGCAGGCATGTATGGAAACAGATTATGGGAACAGTTGCACAGAGCCAGACAACCAAGACATGGAAGAGTGAGTAGCAATGCAAAGAGACAAACAGCAAGCTCTATGAGGTGTATGTGGTAGAGGTGCATGGGGACACCAAGCAGGAAAGACTAGGAGTACACTGGGAGACAGCGAAGCATACTGCAGACAAAAGGTGACAATAACAAATAGGCAGAAACTAACAGGAGATCTCAGAAGGCTGAAAGCTGGCAAAGCTGCACAAGGATGCTGGAATGTTCAAAGGACAAAACAGGCGCAAGGGAACAAGGAAGGGTGAGAGCACAAAAACACACTGGAAGGCACTTGTACACAGACATTAGCAGCTACAGGAACACAAAGAATAAACAGGGCTGCTAGGGGGTCTCTCAGAATGTAGAACAATAGAAATAAAGCGATCACTTAGCATCTACTCAGGAAGCACTGGGGTACACTAGGCACCACAAGGACTCTTCAAGGCCACAGCCCAGGGCGGACTGACCATTTGGAAACTCGGGCACTGCCCCAGCCCTAAGAACACTAGCTGTTGCTCAGGCAAAGCCTGTTGGAATGAGCCCAGTTTAAATAGATGGGGATATGGTCTGGTTTGGGTTGGGCGTGTAGCTTAATTAATCAGTCTTGAACACAAGTCTTGTGGGATAAGTCCTCATGCACACTGGACGTTTTCAGAGCTGCTGTTTTTGGCTTTTGACATTTTTTTGACCAAAACAAATTTTGGTCAAAAATAATGCAAAAAAATGTGGCAAAACGCCGCTAAGCGCTAAAACATTATGAAAAACGCAGGTTTTTAGCGTGACTTTACACAGCTAACGTTACCAGCGTTATCAAAACACCCAATGTGCATGGAGCCTAGCAAGTAACAACAGAACCTTACATGTTAAAGGCATGGAACAACATGTAGCAGCATGCCTGCTGGTCTTTGGGAATAGAGGAGACAGATCTGTGACATAAACCACTATTAAACTCTTTAGCTACAGTACACAAAACTAGCTACTGTTATAGTTGCAGGCGCAAAACTATTATATCTATTTTGGCACCACCAATTCTATTAGCCCTGCCCCATCTCCAACCTCAGTCCCCATGAACAGTGGATAATCGGACGCCCCCCCCTCCCCAACGGAGAGAGCCTGACACCAACACCCCCGCAGAGAGAGCCTGACAGTTACCAACCACACCCCCCGGCGAAAGAGAAAGACACTCACCTGCACAGTTCTTGACATCACCGGGAACAACAATTGGGCTCTGCATACACCATCAAGCAGCCCGCAGCTTCTCTTGGATCCCACTTGGTCCCCATGCTGCATATGTCCCTTCATCCAGGGAGCAGTGCTACCCCCCCTAAAAAATGGCACCTAGGCAAATGCCTTGTTTAACTTGTAAATTCGCCCCTGGCCATGAATTCAAAACCAAGCCCTTGATGAGGGGATGTTAAGAGTCAGAAGATGTTATAAG